TGGGTCGCAGGAACCGGCAGTGCCCCAGGTCTGCCATGCCTCCGAACCAGTTCTCCTCCGGTGACGCCATCTTGATCTGTGGCAGAACAACTTTCTTTGCAGAAATGTAATTTTCTTTCATTGTTTTAACATTTTGCCGCCCGCGCAGACATTTTTATGTGCAAATGAGCACACTCACGGAACCGGCAGTCATGCCGGAAGCAACCCATCCTTGGGCTTCGCCGTTTGGTCTGCCAAAGGAAGAGTGCCAGGGTCCCTTCACATGCTCTCTCTCTATCTCCCGCAGTCGTCGTCCTTGATTTCGAGCGCTACCGCGGCTGCTTTGCTGAGCTCCGGAGCTGTGGACTATTGCCTTCACGTCCTGAAGTCCCTGTTGGACTATTGGAAGAACCAGCAGAACGACGAGGAGCCCGTGCCCACCAGCCAGCTCCTGAAGCCCCATACCACCGCCTCTCCGCCCGACATGAGCCCTTTCTTTCTGCGACAGTATGTCAAGGTGAGATGGCGGTAGCAAAATGATTCCCTGTGTCTTGTTGGGTGTTTCTCAGCCTCTTGGCCTCTTTTACAGTGCGTGGGCTACAACTCCCAGAATCCTCCAGCCAGCATTCAACACTGGACTAATTCATTCATGGGGCCGGGGGATGGGTGCTAACGTTCCCTTCCCAGGATCTGATTTAAAAAAACAAAAACCTCTTAAAGGAGTGGCCAGAACTTCAGATCTTGAAGAATTAGGAACATGGTAGCAATAGCTTATAGACTTATATACCGCTTCACAGGGCTTTTACAGCCCTCTCTAAGTGGTTGACAGCCTCTTGCCCCCAACAATCTGGGTCCTCATTTTACCCACCTCAGAAGGATGGAAGGCTGAATCAACCTGCAGCTGGTTAGGATCGAACTGTTGGTATTGGGCAGAGTTAGCCTGCAATACCACATTCTAACCACTGGGAGGGAGGAAAGGAAGGAAGGAAGATAGCAATAAGCACAGACATATACTGCTTTACAGCCCTCTCTAAGCGGCTTACAGAGTCAGCCTCTTGCCCCCAACAATCTGGGTCCTCATTTTACCCACCTCGGAAGGACAGAGTTAGTCTACAATACCGTATTCTAACCATTGGGAGAGAGGGAGGAAGGAAGATAGCAATAGCACTTAGACTTATATACCGCTTCACAGGGCTTTGCAGCCCTCTCTAAGCAGTTGACAGAGTCAGCCTCTTGCCCCCAACAATCTGGGTCCTCATTTTACCCACCTCGGAAGGACGGAAGGCTGAGTCAACCTTGAGCTAGTCACGATCGAACTGCTCGCTGTGGGTAGAGTTAGTCTGCAATGCTGTATTCTAACCATTGGGAGAGAGGGAGGAAGGAAGATAGCAATAGCACTTAGACTTACATACCGCTTCACAGAGCTTTGCAGCCCTCTCTTAAGTGTTTGGCTGTCAGCCTCTTGCCCCCAACAATCTGGGTCCTCATTTGACTCACCTCGGAAGGACGGAAGGCTGAGTCAACTTTGAGCCGGTCAGATCGAACTGCTGGCAGTTGGCAGAATTAACCTGCAATGCTGCATTCTAACCACTGTGCCCCATAGAAGGAAGGAAAGAAGGAATAGCCCTTAGACTTCTATACCGCTTCACAGTGCTTTACAGCCCTCTCTAAGCAGTTGACAGAGTCAGCCTATTACCCCCCTCCTCCCCCCCAACAATCCGGGTCCTCATTGAACCGACCTCAGAAGGACAGAAGGCTGAGTCAACCTTGAGCCGGTTAGGATCGAACCGCTCACAGCGGGAATGCTGAGTTAACCTGCAATCCCAAATTCTGTCCTGTGCTTTAATTTAATTCTTCGGTCTCAAATTTGATTTTGGGGTTCTGTTTAAACAGCCAAAAGCTGGGCATATGCCGATGACCATGGTTGAAAGACGACAGGTGGTTAAATAGTGTCATTCTTAGAACAGTGTCGCCCCAGATTAAGAGCCGAGGTGGTGCAGTGGTTAAATGCAGCACTGCAGGCTACTTCAGCTGACTGCAGTTCTGCAGTTCGGCTGTTCAAATCTNAAGGAAGGAAGGAAGGACTGAGATTTATATACCGCTTCACAGTGCTTTTACAGCCCTCTCTAGCGGTTTACAGAGTCAGCCTTTTGTCCCCAACAATCTTGGTCCTCGTTTTAGCAACTTCGGAAGGATGGAAGGCTGAGTTAATCTTGAGCTGGTGAGACTCGAACTGCCAAATTGCTGGCAGCCAGCAGTCAACAGAAGTAGCCTGTAGTACTGTGCCACCGGGGCTCTATCATTGGGAAATACTGTGCTTCTGTCTTGCATGTGATGATCTGCCCCCACTCCCACACCCGGTCCTCTTCTCCCTGAGGGAAAATGGCATTGATGCCAGTGAGAATGCCCCGCTGGCCGCTTTGGCTCCGGGTGAGACTTCTGCTGGCATGGCAGAGGCTTGGGCAGAGAAGGGTCTTTTCCCTGCCCAGCTATCAGAAGCCTTTGAGAAGGAAAGAGACGGAATCCCCCTGGCTGGATCCTGGCTGCCTTGTCTTTAGTCTTTAGTGAATGAAATTGGGGTTTATTTTTAAATACCTATTTTAAAAATCTTTTTGAGGTAGGTGTAGAGATGGGGACGTGGTGGCTCAATGGCTAAGAGGCTGAGCTTGTCGATCAGAAAATTCGGCAGTTCGAATCCCTAGCACCGTCTAACGGAGTGAGCTACCGTTATTTGTCCCAGCTTCTGCCAACCTAGCAGTCCAAAAGCATGTAAAAAATTGGGACCACCTTTGGTGGGAAGGTAACAGCGTTCCGTGCACCTTCGGTGTTGAGTCATGCCGGCCACATGACCACGGAGACATCTTCAGACAGTACTGGCTCTTCGGCTTTGAAATGGGGATGAGCACCACCCCCTAGAGTCAGGAACGATTAGCACATATCTGTGAGAGGAACTTTTACCTTTACCTTTTAGAGATGGGAAGAAGGCCTGGAAAAAAATACCAGAAAAAATAATGGTGGTTGGTTTTTTCCCCCCAATTTTTCCATTTCAACCCCCTCCCCAGTCCTTCCCATCTCTCTCTGGGTGTGTAATAGGCTATTTATTTCACAGCATTTTTTAAAAAAAACAAAAAACCAGCATAAAATGATGACTAAATGAGCAAGCGAGAAAGAGATGCTGGCAATTGAATTCATCACCCAAATCCCGTCCTCTTTGGCTGAGCTCAGGAGCCCAGAGAGCTTGACCTCCATCGCTCTCATATCACCATCTCCCTCCCCCAGATGCTCAGCACGGTGGAACTGGAGACTTGGGCTCCTGGCTGCTGTGCCTCTTGATTTGAGTCTCCTGTGGCTGGGCCAGAGGTGGGTTCTGACCGATTTGGCCAAACCGGTAGTAACTTGGCGTCCTGGGTCGCAGGAACCGGCAGTGCCCCAGGTCTGCCATGCCTCCGAACCAGTTCTCCTCCGGTGACGCCATCTTGATCTGTGGCAGAACAACTTTCTTTGCAGAAATGTAATTTTCTTTCATTGTTTTAACATTTTGCCGCCCGCGCAGACATTTTTATGTGCAAATGAGCACACTCACGGAAC